TTGCTGCCTTTGCTGCTGCAGCACAGGGACTGCATGACGTGCTGCTGCTGCAGCGGCTGCGCCAGCAGCAGCTGCTGCTGACGACTCCCGCAGCCTCTAAAGGGGAGCACCAGAACTGGAAGGGGGCCCCCGAGGGGCCCCCAAGTAGCCCCTCGCTGCTGGCCAGGGCCTTGAGTAGGTGCATATCAAAAGGTAAGAGAAAAGACAGACACTGTGCTGCTGCTGCTGCTGCTGCACTGTTGCTGCTGCTGTCAATACACCGGAGATGTGAGGGGTGTTGGAGGTAGAGGAGGGCTGCAATGGTGTTGCTGCTGTGGTGTTGTGTGTTTGCTGCTGCCGCCTGCTGCAGCAGATGGTGCTGCTGCTGCTGCTGCTGCAGTGGTCCCCCAACTACTCGTTGATGGAGTATCTGTGGGGACAGCAGCACGCGTGGCAGAGCTAGAAGAGGAGGGCATGCTAGGTGAGGGTCTAGCCTTTAGGGTTTAGGGTTTAGGGTTTAGGGTTTAGGCTTGGGAAGGTATGGGTTTAGGGTTTTGAAGGGTTTAGTCGCTGCGGCTGCTTAGCTGGACAGCTAAGGAGTGCCTTGAGGGTTTAGGGTTTAGGGTTTAGGGTTTAGGGTTTAGGGTTTAGGGTTTGTTGCTGTTTCTTTAGATAGCATATTACTCCGCATCCGTTGCCCGAGCTGTCTCTGCATGCGGCCTAGCAGCACAGCCCTCTGTAGCAACAGTTGCAGAAACAGCAGCAACAACAGCAGCAGCAGCAGCAACAACAACAGCAGAAGCAGCAACAGCAGCAGCAGCAACACCCGTTGCCTACAGTGTGGGGTGCTGCTCTGCCCTGTCGTCCTTGGCAAAGTCCACCCCAATATGAGGCTTCGATGGATGTACAGGTGAGCAGCAGCAGCAGCAAGAACAGCAGCAGCAGCAACAGCAGCAGCAGCAGCAGTAGCAGTAACAGAAGCAGCAACAGCAACAGAAGCACCCGTAGCAGCAACCGCAGCAGCAGCAGCAGCAGCGGTTCGTCTTGCTGCACCATCTGCTGTGTGCATATGACGTCTCTGAAGGAACAGCAAGGATGGCGGGCAGGAGACTGCTGCTAATGCTGCTGCTGCTGCTGTTGCTGTTGCTGCTGCTGCTGCTGCTGTTGCTGCTGCTGCTGCAGGGGGAGATTCCTAGGCCAACAGAAAGTTTGTAGAAGCGTCTTTCCGGATATGGCAACAGGTTAGTAAGCAGCAGCAAATGCAGCAGCAAATGCAGCAGCAGCAGCAGCAGCAGCAACAGCAACAGCAGCAGGAAGCAGCATTGATACAGGAACTAAGAAAGTATGATTTGTATTTTCTTGTGTATTTGTTGCTTGCAGCCTTCTTTGCTTCTCCTGGCCGGTGCATCTGCTGCGGCTGTCCTTATGGCAGCAACAGCAGCAGCAGCAGCAGCAGCAACAACAGATTCTGCAGAGGAGGACAAGGTGCAGCAGCAGCAGCAGCAGCAGCAAGCGTCCCAGAGCAACAAGACAGCAGTACAGCAGCACAAGCAATGCTGCCAATCTACAGCCCTTCTCTTGCTGCTTGGGCATCACAGCGCAGCAACAACTCACCACCGCAGCAGCAGCAGCAGCAACAGCAGCAGCAGCAGCAGCAGCTAAGAGGAGACACTCTTGCAGCACTGCGGTGTTGCTGCTGCGGCTTCGGAGCAGCAGAAGCATTTGCTGCTTCCCTGCTTCGGGTGTCTCCCTCCTTGCTGCAGCAGCAATAATAATATATATATTTGCTTCTGCTGCTCCTTAGTGCATGCAGCACGCAGCAACAGCAGCAGCAACAGCAGCAGCAACAGCAGCAGCAGCAGATTGCCCCCTCTTAATAAGGGGAGATAAGTGTCTCCCTGTCTCCTTTTTCTTTTCCTTAAGGGATTCCTTTCTTATGCAGACATATTGTTGCTTTCTTTTGTGGCTCTAGGGTGTATGGGCAGAAGCAGGCAGCAGCAGGAGGCAGCAGCAGCAACAGCAGCAGCATCGGCAACAGCAGCAGCAGCAGCAGAGTCAGGCTGTGGAGTGTGTCTGCATGCATTGAGTTAAGGAGAGAGGCAATAGAAGAATTGCCTATAACTTTATGCATGCAGCAGCATGGGGCTTGCCTCTTTGCTGCCCTCCACTACAGCAGCAGCAACAGCAGTTGCTGCTGCTGCTGCTGCTGCTGCAACAGCAGCAGCAACTCGTGAGTTGACAGGAACATTATCCTAATGTATATAGTCAGCTCCTTACTACTTAGGGGAGCGAGGAAGGGGGGGAGGAGAATTATGTATATTTCCTTACTATTTATATAATTAATTAATTATATTATAATTAATTAATTAAATATACAAAAGGAAATAAATATATTCGTTTTCTTCCCCTTTTCCCTCCGTCAATGGCCTGGTCCAATGGACTACTGTTGCTGCTGCTGCTGCTGCTGTTGCTGCAGTAAGGGTATCAAGGGAAAAGGGGATAAAGGGGGGCATACATACATCAATATGCATAATTTAATTGAATAAAAAGTATAAAAATATAAATATAGGGACTTATTTCATTAAATAAATAAAAAAAGAAAGAAAAACAATAAAAAGGAGAAAACTTCCCCTACGGGGCTTATCGAGTGACTCTGCTGCTGCTGCTGCTGCTGCTGCTGCGTCTTTATACTGTACAGGCGTTTCTTAGGGAGGAAGGAGCAGCAAAAAGGGCGTTTTTGCCCCTTTCTCTTCGCTTTTTAAGCAAATAAACACTTAATTTATATTATAAAATATAAATATTAATTTAATTTTAATTAAAAGCAAAGAAAAACATATTTATTGTCCTCTTTTAGCAGCTGGCTGCGACGGTTTGTAGGCGCGAGCCTCGGTAGTGCACTCGGTAGGCAGCAGCAAACTTCTCGGGTGTATATGCAGCTATTTTTCCTCTTTTTTCCTTTTTTTTATGGATAAAAGGGATGACTATGAATAAAATAAGTCAATAAAACATTAAAAATACAAAAAAACAACAGAAAAAGGCCCCAATGCAGCATAGTCCCTCAGCAGCAGCAGCAGCGCAGGTTCGACTGTGGCCTGTTGCTGCTGCTGCTGCTGCTGAGCTGGCTGGGGCCTGCAGCAGCAGCAGCTGCTGCTGCAGCGGTTTTAACTCTTTTTTTCGCCATTTCTCCTTTCTTTGCTTTTTCCCTCCCCCAATCTGTCAATAAACACCTTTTGCTGCATTAGCAGCTCGTGCATAGCTGTATATAAGCAGCAACAAGCATCAAGGAGTTGCTGCTGCTTCTTTTTGCTGCTTTTCTTTGTATATTTACCTCTACCTTTTGCTGCCTTTATACCCTTATAAGGGTATTTTGGCCCCTCTCTTATCCCTACTGTACCTTGACGGTAAGGCATTAGGGCTATAGGGGCCCCCTAACAACCACAGAAGAGGGGGCCCCCTATACACACAGGGCAGCAGCAGCAGCAACAGCAGCAGCAACAGCAGCTGCAGAAGCAACAGCAGCAGCTAGAAGATCCATTCTGTGTCTTTAAGGGTACGTCAGGTGTACGTACACCCCAATAGGCGGCTAATCAAGGGCCCCTGAGTATATATTTATATTTATATATTTTCTTTTCTTTCTTTCTTTCTTTCCCTCCTTATAGGGGGGCCCCCTTGCTGCTGCTTGTTGCTTCTAAGGGTTATGCTGCAGCGTTGCTGCTGATGCAGCAAAGGAGACACTTAGTAGGGCCCCCAATCTGCATCGCTGCTGCTTCTAATTAACAGCAGCTGCTGCAGCGGAAGCAGCAGCAGCAGCAGCAGCAACAGCAGCAGCAGCAGCAGCAGCAGAGGGCCTCTCTATAGGAGGTTAGAGAAGGTGTAATGATATTGCACTTGGCGAAGCGCCTGCTGTTGCTGCTGCTGCTGCTGCTGCTGCTGCTTCCTTTATTACCAATAGGGTGGGGCCCCCATCCTAAGTGGCCATCAATCGTAGGGCCCCCATCTTCTGCTGCTGCTGCAGCAGCAGCTGCTGCAGCTATATCTGCCGCTGCTGCTGCTGCTGCTGCAGTACCTAAATCTGCATATATTAGATCATATTAGTGGTCTATAACAACTGCAGCTGCAGCATTTGCTGCTGCTGCTGCTGTTGTTGTTGTTGCTGCTGTTGCTGCAGCTATTTGTGCTGCAGTACAATAAGAAGTATCTATAATAATAATAATAATAATAATAATAATAATAATTCTTTTGTTGCTGCTGCCTCTTAGGGGGGGCCCCCATCCTGATGGCGGGTAATGATCAGCCGCTGCAGTACCCTTACCCATTTACTCATCCTCCTCCTTCCTTACCGGGGCCCCCCCCTGGTAAACAAAGAGAGATAGATTTACCATTAAAAAGTAAGCAGCAACCCCACCTACTTGAATGGTTATTAAAGGCAAAAGCTGAATTAAGGGCACTTACCCCAACACAGACTGCAGCAGCAGCAGCAGCAGCTGCTGCTGCTGCTGCTGCTGCGGCGGGGGACACTCACGGGGACTCTGGAGGTGCCGGGGTTGGTCCAGGAGGGGTTGGAGTGGGGGGCCCCCATGGGGGGGGGCCCAGGGGGGCCCCAGGAGGAGAAGGGTACTATATTAATGATTATAATGAGGGCAGCACAGCAGCAATATCTCATGCTGCAGCAAGAGATGCATTAAATGCTCCTTTACCTGGCAGCAGAGGTGTAGCAGCAGCAGCAACAGCAGCAGCAGCAGCAATACATGCAACAGGAAGAGGGAGAGAGGAGACAGGTGAAGAAATAGGAGGAGACAACAGCAGAAACAGCAGCACAACATTGCTGCAACAAGAACGAACAACTCTACAGCAGCAGCAGCAGCAGCAGCAGCAGCAGCAACAGCAACAGCAGCAGCAGCAGCAGCAGCAGATGGAGTACAGCAGCAGCTGGTCTGACGTAGAAGACGAAGGGGTACCCGTGCTGCTGTCTGCACAAAACAGTGGGTACTTTGGGGGCCCCCCCTTTATAGATAATGAGCCCTTTATAGATAGGGTACAGTATAAAGGGGCCCCCCAGTACCCTCTTGTTTCTCCTCTTATAGAGGGACAGGATACAGACACGACTGGTCCTGCTGCAGATGCTGCTGCTGCTGCTGCTGCTGCTGCGGTGCATACGTCTCCTGAAGATACAGCTGGTCCTCCCTGTTTAATTTCTGTAGGACCTGCGGAGACACCCGAGGAGGGCCCCCAATCTCCGTCTCCTGCAGGTTCTATTGAGGGGTCCCCTTTGGGGGCCCCCATAGGGGCCCCTCTAGGGGGAGCCCCCATCATAGGAAAGGAGACAGTACTGTGCAGAGAGGCTGCAGAAGTCCTACCCGATGCAGGGGATCGATCGATCCCCGCCTCCCCACACGGGTGTGGGGCCCTTGCCCCCCACTTCTCCCCTGTTGCTTATCAGGTATCTCCTAGGGGGCCCCTGGGGGCCCCCAAGGGGCCCCCCTTAAAGGCAGCAGATCTACCTCTCTCTCCAGGGCCCCAAGGGAGACCATATAGACCAGCTAACAGCAAACTGAGGAGCCAACGAGGGACTGCTGCTGAGCAGCAGCTGCAGCAGCAGCAGGAGCAGCAACAAGGATCGCTGCTGCAGCAGGAGCAGCAAAGACAGCGTTTACATGGCTGCAGGAACACTGCAGCAGCAGCAACAGCAGCAGCAGCAGCAGCAGAAGCAGCAGAAGGGATAACAACTAATTGGAGGGCAAAAGGAAAAGAGAGCAACAGCATTAAGACCTTAGCAACGGGCACAGCAGCAACAGCTGCTGCTGCTGCACCAACAGCAGCAGCAGCAGCACCAACAGCAACAGCAGCAACTGCAGCAGCATCCGCTGGCATATCAACAGAGTCGTTTGCTACGAGGGTTAGACGAGCTGCGCTTGAGCAGCAGCAGCAGCAGCAGGAGCTGGAGCAGCAGCGACTGCTGCAGCAGCAGCAAGGAATGCAGCAAGAACTGCAGCTGCAGCTAAGACAACAGCAGCAGCAGCAGCATCTTACACTGCAGCAGCAGCAGCAGCAGCATCAAGAGGGGCAGAGATATCTTCAGCCTCCTTCTGCAGTGTATGTACCATCGGGCTCACAAGATCTGCAGCAGCAGCAGCAGCAGCAGCAGCAGCAGCTACAGCAGCAGCAGCAGCAGCAGCAGCCGCTCCTCTTTTTACAGAAACAGCAAATGCAGCAGCAAATACAAACGTTTGCTTCTACCCATACTGAAGTTACATCGCAAATACAGCAGCAGCAGCAGCAACAGGTGCTGCTGCTGCAGCAGCAGCAGCAGCAACAGCAGCAACAGCAGCAGGATTGGTCTGTGTGGGTACAGACATCTGCTTGTGTGCAGCAGCAGCTGCTGCTCCGTGGTGCTCCTCCAGCAGGTGCTGCTAATGCTGCTAATGCTGCTACTGCAGCAGCAGCAGCAGCAGCAGCAGCAGCAGCAGCAGCAGCAATGCAGGAGCAGCAAGAAGGAGTTTTATTTTATCCTCCTTTATCCCCAAGACAAAGAATAAAACAGCGCCCTTGTTCTCTAGGCAGCTGGATGGGACCAGGATGCTAATCTATGGCTAGCTAGCTAGCTAGCTAGCTAGCTAGCTAGCTAGCTAGGTGCCTGGCTAGCTAGGTGCCTGGCAAGCTGGGTAGCTAGCTAGCTGGATAGTTAGCTAGTTGGCTAGCTGGGTAGCTAGCTGGGCAGCCAGCTAGCTGGCGACAATAGATAGTTAGCTAGCTAACTACCCACCCAGCTGGCTAGCTAGCTGCTTAGCTAGCTAGCTGCTTAGCTAGCTAGCTAGCTAGCTAGCTGCTTAGCTAGCTAGCTAGCTAGCTAGCTGGCCTATCTGCATTAGTCTATTAGAGGAGGAGGCGCTGCTATATTCCTGTCTCCTTAATAAGAAGGAGACAGCTGTCTCCTTAATAAGGAGACAGGTGTCTCCTTTTTTTTTTTTATTTATTTATTATTAAGGAGACAAAGGAATTAGCTAGCTGGCTAGTCAGCTAGCTAGCTAATTAGCTGTCCCTTTTCTTATTATTAACTGTCTCTCTTTCTTTTTGTTTATTTTCTTTACTGCAGCAAATATATATATAATTAATTGTCCCCTCTTGCTGCTGTCTCCTCCTGCTGCTGTCCTCTCTCCTCCTGCTGCTGTCCTGTCTCCTGCTGCTGCTGTCTCCTTCTGTCTCCTTTATGTGTCTCGCTTCTGCAGAGACAAAGGCACTGTAGCTAGCTAGCTAGCTAGCTACCTATCTACCTATCTACCTACCTTACCTCATGCCTACATTATAGCTAGCTAGCTAGCTAGCTACTAGCTACTAGCTAGCTAGCTACTAGCTAGCTACTAGCTAGCTAGCTATTAGCTAGCTACTAGCTAGCTAGCTCCCTTTTTATTAGTATAATTTATACTAATAATTATTAATTAATAAGAATAATAGACAAATTGTTCCCTAATAAGGAGACACTTTCTTCTTCTTTCTTCCTCTATTTATTATTATAAAAAGTGTCTCCTTTGCTGCTCTCTCCTTGTCTCCTTTTTTTTTCTCCTTTTTTTTTCCCCTTTTTTTGTCTCCTTTTTATGTGTCTCCTCTTTCTTTATATTATTATTAATTATATAATTAACCCCTTAATTGTCTCCTTCTTCCTGTCTCCTTTTTCTTATAGAAAAGGAGACAAAAAGGAGACAAAAAGGAGACAAAAAGGAGACAATAATATTAATAAATAAAAAGGAGACAAATATATATAAATACTAATAATAAATAAAATAAATAAATAAATAAATAAATAAATAAATAATCCCTTATATAACTGTCTGTCTGCTCCTTAATAAGGAGAAAAAAAAAATAAATTGTCCCTTTTTTTTTTTATTAATAATTAAATAAAAAAAAGGAGACACTTTTTATTGTCTCCTTTTTTTTTTATTATTATTTATTTAATAAAAAGGAGACACTTTTTTTTTTTTCTCCCTCTTAATAGGAGACACCCCCCCTCCCCTTTTTTTCTTTTTTGTCTCTTTTTTTCTTTATTATAATAAAAAGGAGACATATAATTAATTAATTAATTAATTAATTAATTAAATTAATTAATAAATTAATTAATTAATTAACTGTCCCCTTTTTATTATAAGAAAAAAAGACACCTTTATTGCATATAATTATGTCTCTCCTCCTTATTAACAAGGAGACACAAGAAAGTGTCTCCTTTTTTTTTTCCTTATAATAATAAAAGGAGACAGTAAGTGTCTCCTTTTTATTATAATAAAAAAGGAGACAATTAATAAGTGTCTCCTTTTTTTCTTATAATAAAAAAGGAGACAGTTAGTTAATAAGTGTCTCCTTTTTTTTTTTTCTTTTTTTTTTTCTTATAATAAAAAGGAGACACATAAAGGGACACAACAGCCAATAGGGAAGAGACACTGCAATAATAATATATACGCAAAAAGACCCCTACACAGCCACCTCTAGCTAGCTAGCTAGCTAGCTAGCTAGCTGGATAGCTAGCTAGATAGATAGCTAGCTAGCTAGTTAGATAGGTAGCCAGTTAGCTGGCTAGCTAGGCGTTTACCTAGCTAGCTAGCTGGCTGCCTCTAGCCATATATACAGGTAGCTAGCTAGGTATAGCTAGCTACCTAGCTAGCTAGCTAGCTAGCTAGCTAGCCAGCTAGCTAGATATACCTAGCTGAATAAAGGGGGCAAATAATAGCCACCTAACGGGCAAGATAGCTAGCCAGCTAGTTATAGCTAGCTAGCTAGCTAGCCGGGCTGTAGTAGCTAGCTGGCTAGTTGGCCAGCTAGCTACAGCTAGTATAACACACAACCAAATCAAACATCTGTTAGAAGGAGACAACTGCAGCAGCAATTGCTGCTGCAGCAGCAGCAGGTGCTGCTACTGCTGCTGCTGTTGCTGCTGCAGTTGCTGCAGCATTTGCTGCACCCCTTCCTTTACGGAAATAAAATCCTTCGTCTTCCTACCACTGCAAATGCTGTTCACGCTGCTGCTGTTATTGCAGCAGAAGCTGCTGCTACATGCATGCATGCATGAATAGATCTTTCTGTATTGAATAAACCCCCAATCTCCTTGGGTCTTCTTGTCCCTCATGCGGGCCTGCGCAGCAGCAGCATCTGTTGCTGCTGCTGCTGATGTTGCTGCTGCTGCTGATGTTGCTGCTGCTGCTGTTGCTGCAGCAGCAGCAGCAGCAAGATATATTTCTTCGCTCTTCCCGTCTCTCTTGAGATCGGCTTCACCTGCTGCTTGCCATCTTGCATCTCCCCCCTGCTCTGCTGCTGCAGCAACTGCTGCTGCTGCTGCTGCTGCAAGTGCTGCAGCAGCAGCTGGTGGAGCAGCAAGGGCTACAGCAGCAAGTGCTGCAGCAGGAGCAGCAGCAGGAGATTATATGTACTGCATTCAGCAAGGAAAAGTTATAAAGCTGTACTACATTAATTATCTTGCTGCTGCTGCTGCTGCTATTGCTGCTGCAGTTGCTGCTGCAGTTGCTGCTGCAGTTGCTGCTGTATTTATTCACTAGCATCTTGTTCCTCTCGCTGTTGCTGCTGTTCCTCCTCCTCTTGCTGCTGTTGTTGCTGTTTCTGCTGCTCTTCCTGCTCCTGCTCCTGCTGCTCATGCTCCTGCTTCTCCTGCTCCTGCTGCAGTTGCGTCTGCTGCTCCTGTTCCTGCTGCTCCTGCTCCTGCTGCTCCTGCTCCTGCTGCAGTTGCATCTGCTGCTCCTGCTGCTCATGCTCCTGCTCCTGCTGCTCCTGCTGCAGTTGCATCTGCTGCTCCTGCTGCTCATGCTCCTGCTGCTCCTGCTCCTGCAGTTGCGTCTGCTGCTCCTGCTCCTGCTGCTCCTGTTCCTGCTGCTCCTGCTCCTGCGGCAGTTGCGTCTGCTGCTCCTGCTCCTGCTGCTCGTGCTCCTGCTGCAGTTGCATCTGCTGCTCCTGCTGCTCCTGCTCCTGCTGCTCCTGCTCCTGCTGCAGTTGCGTCTGCTGCTCCTGCTGCTCCAGCTGCAGTTGCGTCTGCTGGTCTTGCAGGTCTTGCTGCTCTTGCTGCAGCTGCGTTTGCTGCCGCTCCTCCTGCTGTTCCTGCTCCTGCTGCAGTTGCGTCTGCTGCTCCTGCTCCTGCTGTTCCTGGTCCTGCTGCTCCTGCTGCTCCTGCTGCTCCTGCTGCTCCTGCTCCTGGTGCTCCTGGTGCAGTTGCCTTTGCTGCTGCTGCTGCTGCTGCAGTTGCATTAGCTGCTCCTGCTGCAGCTGGTTCTGCTTTTGCAGGAATTGCTGCTCCTGTTGCTGCTGCAGCAGGAATTGCTGCTCCTGGTTTTGCTGCAGGAATTGTTGCTCCTGCTGTTCCTGCTGCTGTTCCTGCTGCTGTTCCTGCTGCAGTTGGAATTGTTGTTCCTGCTGCTGTTGTTCCTGCTGCTGCTGCAGCTGGAATTGCTGCTCCTGCTGCTGTTGCAATTGCTGCTTCTGTTCCTGCTGCTGCAGGAATTGCTGTTCCTGCTGTTGTTGCTGCTGCTGCATTTGCTGCTGCTCTTGTTCCTGTTGCTGTTGCAGTTGCAATTGTTGCTGTTCCTGTTCTTGTTGCTGCTGCAGTTCCAATTGCTGCTGCTGCTGTTCCTGTTGCTGCTGCAATTGTTCCTGTTGCTGTTGCTGCTGCAATTGTAATTGCTGCTGCTGCTGCTGCTGCTGCTGCTGCTGCATTAATAATTCCTGCTGCTTCTCCATCTGTATTCCTTGAAGAATTCTTAGTTGTTCTTCTTCTTGATCTCCTGCTATTCTTCTTCTTTGCTGCTGTATTTGCTGCATATGTTGCTGCATATGCTGCTGTTGCTGCTGTCTTTGCTGCTGCTGCTGTCTTTGTCTTAGACTTTTACTCTTTTTTAATCCTTTTGTTTTTTTTCCTCCTTTTTCTTCCTTTTGCTGCTGCTGCTGTTGCTGTTGCTGTTGCTGTTGCTGTTGCTGTTGCTGCAGCAACTGATGCATTTGCGCATATCCTTGTATATTATCCTGTTGTTGCTGCATATGCTGTTCGTGTATCTCCCTGTCCCTTTCTTGCTGCATATGTTGCTGCATATGTTGCTGCATTTGCTGCTGCATTTGCTGCTGCATTTGCTGCTGCTGCATATGTTGCATATGTTGCTCTGTTAGCTTCCTCCTAGCAGCAGCAAATCTATCCATAACCTGTTTAGCTAATGGACAAGGTGGTGGACCATTGGTCATATTAATAGATGACCAATGGACCTCCTTAAAGAAAGGATGGTGCAGTACCTGCTGCATATTATATCTATTATTTATATTATTATTAATCATATTTAATATTAAATCTATAAATAATATCTCCTTATTTATATTATATTGCTTATATTTACGTATTTTTACGTACATACGTCCGTATGACATACCTAATGCATATACATCTGTTTTTATACTAAAAGGAATAAAAGAGGAAGAAGAGGAGGAAGAGGAGGGAGAAAAGGGAGAAAAAGAGGAAAAAAAAGAAGATAATATTGATAAATAACCATTATTATTATTATTATTATTATTATTATTATTATTATTATTATTATTATTATTATTATTTATTCTTCTTAATTCAGGGGCAGTAAATCCTCTTGTATGTGTTGCCTCCTCTATAGGGCATGGCATATTAATTGGCCATAACATCTCATAGTCTGCTAGTAATATATGACCATTATTATTAATAAAATAATTAGGTGGCTTAATATCCCTATGTATAAATCCTTTTTTATGTAATTTATATACACTTATTGCCATCTCTGCTGCTGCATACATAATATTTATATTAAGGGGTACATCCCTATAGTATTGACTAAGATCACAACATAATCTAGGTAATATAATATATATATTACCTGTTCTTCTTGATCTATAACTTTTTATTATATTCATAAATAAATTACTATTATTATCTCCCTTGTCTACTATATCCTCATTATATTCATTCTTCTCTTCTTTTTCTTCTCTATCTTTTAATATATTAATTATATTATTTATATTATTATTATTATTTTTTTCTTCTTCTTTTTCTTCTTTTTTTTTCTTATTATTATTATTCTTCTTATTATTTAACCAATGGTCCATCACGTATACCTCCCAACCTAATTGATCTATACTGTACCCTGGTCTATAACTTCTTCCTTTTATTACTATTCCTTCTTCTCTTTCTTTCTTATTTAGTCCAATAAAATCAGCAAGGGCCTCTGATGGTTTTTCTATTATATTTACGAAGGTACGCCTACGGGGGCCCCCTATAGGTGGTGGGGGGGCCCCAGGTACCCCAGGGCCCCCAATACCACCCATTAAACGGATAGGGGCCCCTGGGGGGCCCCCTGTTAATCCCTCCAATCCCTCAGCTACTAATTGGAACTCAGGGAAGTTTAATTCATCTACTGCTGGTAGACGCCATAGATAATAACGCCAAGAAAATGGCTTATCTGTACATATACATATACATATACATATACATATACATATACATATACATATACATATACATA